GGGGGGGGTGGGGCCCCAGCCGGGGCTTGCGGCTCTGCCTCGTCCCACGGCAGCACCGGACGGTGCCGCCCACGAGCCGCACGGTGCTCTTTCGAAACACGGGGAAGGCTTGATTTCTTTTATTTGTGCTACACTATAACGGTGCTCAAACCATCGGTCTGAAAAATAAGGTCTGGCATGGGCTGGGTGTGCAGGTCCCGCTGGTCCCGTGGGAGATGCCGGGGCAGCCGGGACCCTCCGTAGGGGTCACACTGCCACTGGGCGACCAGCGGGAAAACATTTTGGGGAAGGGAAACCAAAAGCAGCAATAATTCGGGGGATACCTCTCAGAAATGCTTATGGTGCTATCATTTGACATTTTCAGCCTCTTGATGGTGTTGGCAGGCCAGCACAAAACTCTTGAGTTTTATTATTATTTTTATATATATGAAGTGAGCATCTAGCATTCCACCAGTACAGCCAACCGTTTGGATTAGTTTTTTTTCCTTAAGGGACTTGAAGCTGGCAACCCATTCAGTAATTTGCATTAAAATGTTTACGCACTGAAGCTAAATAGCCGTAATTGAAGAAATGGAGACAGGGCAGAGGAATAAAGTATGGCTTTAGTTACCCCCACGAGTCTGGGGCTCACGGTGTGTGTGAAGGCTCCATACCCTTGTCTCCCTGCTGCTGGCCTTGTGTGCCAAAGCCATTGCCTGTATCACTCTGGGGCAGAGGGGATGGTCAGGGACACCAAGGCACAAGTGAAATGATACATTGGTTTTGGAGTCCAACGATGCATTCCCTTGCATGTATTTGTGAAGGAGAGGGAAAGCTGCTCTGGCCCCGGTGGTGAGCAGCATCCCCTTCGCTGCATCCTTCCTCGTGAGCAGCAAAGTACTTACACACCTGGATTTCTGTATGCAGTTACGGTGTAGCAGTTTAATGGTTGGTTAAGGTGTTTTTCTGTGTTCTTACGAGCTAAAAACCTTTTTTCCCTGCTTATATAGATTCACCTCTGTTAAGGTTAGTTGATCCTTTTAACTAGAATATCTGATATTGTACGAGGAGTGGCACTTGGCTGGCACAGCCCTCACCACCCGGTCCGGGGTTGTCATATGTTAATCCCTGCCTGTCTTAGGGAGGATTTGCTGTTAGGTTGGTCCCCGGAGGAGGGTTGGGAGCATTTAGGTAGGAATTCCTTTCCATATTACTCTTTAAGCTATGGAGGACGCCCAAAAACTGGGAGACCATGAAGGCAATCCTACTTGCATTGAACGGAGAAAGGCTCAAGCCCAGCATCGGCCGTGTCATGCGTGCAATGCGGTCACACAGCCCAGGGTGCGTTTCTTCTTCACCTGTGCTGTCGGGAACAACATTCAGTCCTATAACAGGGGAAATTCCTGTGTGTAATTTGTATGTAAAACACAAGCCATGACTTCACCATTTGTGTTTTATTCCTTTCCAACGTGGTGTAAATTTTTATGTTTCAAGAGCCTGTGTTCAGTCCTGTTTTCCTTCTCACCGGCACCATCTGTCCCATGCTTCCATCATGCTCCCAGGTTTTCCTAAGGGATAGCCACTAAATGTGTTGGGGTTTAATGGCTATAGCTCACGAGTGTGTTAAATTAAACAGTTACTGAAGGAAATGGTAGGGTTTCATATTTTCTCTTCCCCTTGGGGAATGTCAAGGGATTTTTCACTGAAAATGCAGTTAAGTGGAGATAGTTCAGGTACTGGCAACAGCGGGGGTGTAATTGCTCTCTTAGCAGCAGAAAGGGGCAATCAGTTTGCATCTGAAAATCATTTAAGGCTGCCGTTTGCAACCGGGATTTGTGTGATTAAAATGTGAGCTGAGTCGATGGGGTAAATGCTGGCAGCCCGCTGGTGACTCGCAGATCGAAAGGCTTCAGCCCCTGCGTTGTGTTGATGCCTACTCCGGTTTTGCAAATCAATTCATTCCAGCGCTAACCTGGCCTGGTGAGCCTCTCCTGCGGTACCCGTCGATGCTCAGGGTCACATCCACAGCCAGGACAAGGGCACAAGATAATCCCTCCATGTGAGAATGAGCCAAACCCATTGCACTGTCTGTGCAACAGTGTTGGGAATGCTGGAGAAGCGATTGCGGTGGAGGGGAAGACCGTAACGGCAGCTGCTGTTTCATAAATGCTTCAGCCTGGCCAAACATAAACCTTTGGGAATATGCTGATGAATCAGACCCTAAATCAAAGGCACTGAGCTTCTGCGAGAGCTCTGTGCACCGCGTGCTGTGCAGCAAACAGGTTTTCTTGTTAGCCCAGCAGTGTTTCACGCGCCCTCGAGTGGAGCCGGTCCCTGAGCATCCCCAGCCAGCACAGCCGCAGCTGCCGGTTCACAGCCGGAGCACGATGCCCACCTGCGCCTTCGTGTCCCTGCAGCCCCAACCAGGTTGGGTCTCTGCAGCACAGGGAACTGCAGCAGCCAGGAAAAACCTTTCTGTTTCAACCCAGAAACCTTTCTGTTTCAAGAAGGGCCAATCCCGACGCGTCTGAAGCCTCGGGGTTTGCAGAGCAGAGGCAGGCGCCCTGGCTCCGCAATGACTTTCAGCTGTCACAACACAGCGGCGGGGCTGGGGCATCCTTCTGGGAAGGGCTGAGCAGAGCCGGTTCCCAAGCGCTCGGACTGGGAGCAGCAGGATTTTTATGTAAACCAAAAGCGTGGCCAGTGCCCGAGCCCAACAGCTCCCAAACTGTGGAGGTTTCTGGTGGGCGCTGAGGCTGGAGAAGTTTGCATCGCAGTGTGGGAATCTCTGCTGGAAGGACATTTCATCTGATTTTTAGCCACATAATAAGCCAGGCCTCCTACAAGCACATAAATTGCATTATAAGTAATAATCACATATGTTTTGCTTAAATACCTGCAATATTTTCTTTCAATAAGACACCTACAGCTTGGAAAATGGGCTGCAACTGTAAATGAAAAACTCTCCAGAATTGGTGCCGTTCTGACTCTCTGGTCCCGCCATTGCAAGCTCTGACATGTCTGACAGCAGAATCTGCTTTAAGCCACGGGGACGCAGGAGCACATGTGTGCAGAGCTCCTCGCTTCCTCTCGCAGCAAAGCCAGAACCTTCCCAGGAACGGATCTGGATATTTACTTGCTCAGCTTTGTTAGTATCCGTGTGTTCACTTGCTCCTTGTAACCAAGGAACAAACTAGAAATGCCTTTTTTACTTCTTTTAAAGACGCTTTTATTAATGTGTCAACACAAGAAGGATGTTACTTTAGAAATAACTGCTGCAATAGTGTGGAAAGGAAAGCAGGAAAGTAATTATGAATCAAAAGATGTTTGAAATAGAAAGATGCTTTTCCCTGGGGTATCTAAGGACGGTTTGCCAGGAAAGCAAGTTTATCCTTTTTGCTAGCTTAATTAGAGCAGAGTATGAAAGAGAAAAGCAAGAATATGTCAGCCCCTCATCGCAGAAGTCCCTGAGCTCCACGGCCACTGTGGCCGCTGTTCTTCAGCCAGGCCCCGGCTAGAGCGGAAGGAAGCCCACCACCGCCGCCTTCCCTGCGGGTGATGCACCGGTCACGCCGAGAACACGCGTGCGTTTGACCGGAGACCACGGCAGAGCCTTCCCCTCTGAGCCTCCCAAAGAGCCCTGGCTATGACCAGCGCAGACAGAAGACAAGCCCTAAATCATGCTTTTCATTAGAGATACAGGATGCGTGGTGACCAGGATGCATTCACTTTGTCATTCTAAGATACTTTTGGTTCATTACTTCAGAAAGACCCCATTGAAGACCAACGCTGCAGAACTTGCATGCTTCATTTGGCACACAGTAAAGGGGGGGATTCCCACTCATTGTGAACCGTAGCAATGTGGGGGTCGAAGTCCCTCCGACCTTTGGCTGCTTGGTTTTACTTGGCCCATTTGAAAAACATTTGGTTTCTCCGCTAAGCTGTCGGAGGCTACAGGGAATTTTGTTCTTACAGCCTGGTCGCCTCCCAGCACCGGCTGGACATCTGCACTGGG